CTTCCCTCCTCCCCCCCCGCCTCCCCCACCCCGGGGAGGGCCGCTACAATTTGTGGTTACAGCTTTACACGTCAGAAAAAAAAAAAAAGTTTGCAGAATGTCCCACACCGAAAAAAAAAATCCGAAACCGAGTGAAAAAAACCTGCGAGTGGGCCTGGCGGATGGGATTATTCCAGCCTCGCCGGAGCCGCGGCTCGCCCTCCCGCTCCGCCAGCCTCCGGGAGAGCAGCCGCGCCCGCCGGCCCGGCCCCCAGCCCCATGGACCTCCGAGCAGGTAGGAAACCAGGCGTCCGAGGCCCCGGCCCCCGCCCCCGCCGAGCAGCCGCGAGATCCGGTTCCCGTCCTCCCGCCCGCCCCCGGGGAGCCCCGCGCCGGGGCCGGGCCGGGGAGCAGGGCTCGGGCCGGGGGAGGCACTGCCGGGCGCCCTCGAGAGGGGCCGGGCGGGGACGCGGCATTCCTGGGCTCCGCTCGGCAGCGCAGGAGGCGGCGGCGAGTGCGGCGGGCAGCCCGGACGGCCTGCAGACCTGGGGAGGCGGCCACCTGGAGGGGACCCCGCGGGGCGAGCGGGGCGAGCGGGGCGCGCCGGTCGCGGGGACGCGGCGCGCGGCGAGGAGGGGGCTGGGCGGGGAAGGGGGCCGAGGCCGGGCCGGCGGGCGGCGAGGGGAGGCCGACACCTCGGGCCGCGCAGCGCTCCCTCCCCGGCCCGCCGAGAGGCAGAGGCGAAGGCGGGCGGGCGGGCGGGGAGGAGGGCGGGCGAGAGGCGCGAGGAGGGCGGAGGGCAGCGCCGAGCCTGGCCGCGCCGGGCCGGGCCGGGCCGCGGGACACTGGGCTGCACGTTGCGCGGCCGGAGCCCCGCGTGCTGTCCGGGGCCGGGGCGCCGGCGGCAGGTAGGGGCCGGGCGGCGGCCGTGAGCCCCCGGCCCGCGGGGGCCTGGGAGTGATTACCGCGGGGAGTGGGGTGGGGGCGGGCGCAGCCCGGCCGGACCCGGCAGGAAAAAAGTCCGTCACCGGCCGGCGGAGCGGCGGCGGCGGCAGGAGAGCCGCTCGGCCCCGCGCTCCGCGGCAGGGAGGCGGGCAGGGCAGGGAGTCGTTGCGCGGGAAAGGGCAGCGCCGGGCCGAGCCCCGGAGCCCCGCGCCCCGGACCCGCCCCCGCCTCCGCCGCCGGGAAGGGAGCGACCGGGAGGGAGCGGGCGGGGGGCGGGGCCGGGGGCGCCGGGGCCACACAGGGGGAAGGCGCCGGCGGCGGGAGGTCACCGGCGAGGAGGGCGGGCGGGCGGCCACTGCCGCCGCCCAGTCCGGCGAAACAAACCCGAGTCCCCCCTGGCTGCGCCCGAGTCGCCTCGCCTCTGCTCTCCCCACTTTCCTTAGCTGCTCCACCCGCCCCGGGAGCCTTCCCCGAGGGCGACCCCTGCTTCCTCCCGGGCCGGCCTGGCCCTCGGCCTTCGGGTGGGAAGGGGCTGCCAGCAGAGGAGGAGGGAAGCCTGGCCGGTGCTGGCCCAGGCGGAGCTCCGGTCTGGGCTGCGGCTGGGGGTTGCGGGACACACCTCTCCGGATGGGGTGGGCACACAGCCCAGGGACATCACGGGGTTCGCTGGCCCCAGCACACGCTGGTGCCCCCCCGGACACAGGGACTTAAACAAGCCTTGCGCTCGGAGATCAGAGGGGCTGCCCCCACCTCCCGCCCCTCCGGGCTCGATAAACTCGTCCCGTGCCGCGCGCTGCTGCAGCTGGGGAACAGGCAGGCAGAAGAGGCAGCAGCTTGGTCAGCCTGCCCTCCCCACACTCGGTCCCCGCGCGCAGCCACTTCACATTCCTTGGGCGCAGGTGGCTCTCCCACCTGCCGGCCGCTCCGCCCCTCCCGCCCTGTGTCACACACTCAGACACCAGCACTCACCCACACACTGGCCTGGGCAGTTCCCCGCTCCTCTGCCCCTGCCTCCGGCTTTCAGCTGGCTGCCCCCCCACAGCACACCCAGGGCCCTCTTGCGGCACAATCGAGAACCCACTCTGCTCCCTCGGTTGGAAAGCCGGTCACAGCTTCCCAGGGTAGGGCTGGCCCGCCCTCCGCGACCTGCCCTGGCCCTCGTTCTCTCACTTGGGCTTGGCTGTCGGAGGAGATGCTGCAGCCGACAGCCCAGCTGAGCCGGGGCCTTAGGCATCTCTGCTGGGGAGGGACTTTAGCCTGCAGCCTCCTCAGGCAAGCCCTGTCACCAGATGGGTTGACAGGGAAGCTGGGTCTGCTGCCTTCCAGACCGTGTGTCCTCACTTCTCTGCGGCCTAGGGAAAGGAGAGGAGGGAGGGGTGGGGGCTGACCACGAGGCAGGGCAGGGGGAGCGCTGAGGAGGCAGGGCAGGAGGTACCCCTGGCGTTTCCTGTACACCCAGGGCTGGGATCCCACCTCCCCCAAGCCTCTCCAGTCCTCCCAGTTCCCACAGCAGAGACCACCCCCCATGATCCCCACCCTCAGATGCTGGTGCCAGTATAGCTTGAGGACGCACGGCCTTTGCTGAGGCTCCCATATGGGCCCAGCCCGCGGTCCCTGTGCCCCACCTCCAGAGCCCCCAGGCCCAGTGTAGTCAGTGACCACCTTGTTCCACCCAAGCCCAGCACCTTGGACACCCCTGCCCTGTGCCCACGTGAGGTCAGCTTGGTGTTAAAGAGGCCTGGACAAAGGGCAGCCAGCTAACTTAGGACATGTCAAGGGGGTGCCTGCCCGTGCAGCCGTGTCAGGGTGGCCCTGCGCCCGCATAGGCCGAGACTGTGTGTGTGTGTGTGTGTGTTCACGAGGGGGGCCTCGGTTCCCAGGGCCCAGGGATCTGGATGGAATTAGAGCCTGGCCCGGGTGGGGGCCAGGATGGGGGGTGGGGGGCTGCAGCAGGAAACGTGAGCTGCGCTCATTAGCTCCTCACGTGCTCTGCCGGATTTATAAACACAAGGAGACCATGGATGTAAACAGTCAATGGAGCCGGGCGGGGGGCTGGGCCTGGGCCAGGGCTGGGGGAGGGGCCCACGTGGGTCCACCTGCACGCCCGAGCCTGGGCAGGAGGCTGGACCAGGCCCCACGGAGCCCACAGTGCACTCCCTGGACGCTCACCCCCAATCACAGGTGTTCCCTGTGGGGGCAGCTTTGCCTGTGGTGCCCTAAGACATGGGCATGCTTTGCCCAGAGTGGCAGCTACCACAGCCCTATCCTGGGGTGTCACTTTCTCCTCTCCCTGGGGATTCCACAGCTTCCTTCCTCCTTTGGGGTTCTCCAGGGCCTGCCCCCTCCCCCGCCACCCCACTACGCGGCCTGCAGTGACACAGTTACCTCAGAACTGAAATATTCCTGGAAACACCGGCCTCTCTCTCGTCTGGTTAATTTCATGAGCCGTTTTTTCTGCCCAGATGACTTAGCTCGTGTTTATCCAAAGGCTTCTCCCTCTGCTGTCCCGGTGCGGGGAGCTGGTCTCCCCAAGGGTGTCCTGCAGCGCCCAGGAGGGGCAGCGGGGAGCACAGCTCGGCCAAGCTGGGGTCCTGGCCCCACTTACCAGCTCCGGTGTTAGCTAGGATGCCCCACCAGGCCCCTGAACCAGCAGGGCCACACTGGCTGCTGTTGCCCCTCCTAAACCGATTGCCAGTGTTCAAAGCTCCCAGGGTCCCAGGGGCTTGAGGAGCCTAGGGGTGATGGGTCAGAACCCCAGCTGAGGGGTGCAGGGCCTGGGACAGCCCCTCAAGAGCTGGCGACAGGGGGGAGGGGAGAGAGGTGGGGGACAGGGGTAAGGAGCTGCAGCAGGGAACTGAGCGCAGCCCATTGCTGGGACAGCAGAGTCCCTGCTCTGCCCTGTCCCCCAGCCTCGAGGCCAATACCTTCTTCCCATAAACAGGAGACCTGTGACCGCTGGGTACATGCTGAACAAGCAGCACTTGAGGGCTAAGACTGGCCGTGAGATGTCTGCTGCCCACTGAGCCCTCGGGGCCCCTGGTGCAGAGCAAGGCCCGTGCCCAGCCCTGCCTCACTGTTAGCTTGTGCTTCGCTCTGACATCAGCCGGCTGCCCCTCCATAACCCGTTTCTTTCCATCGAAACCTACAGGATAACCCAGAGGAATAGGGCCACTCCTGACTCCACACCTCTCCAAGCTGAACTCCCGAACCAACCAACCCTGCGCCCCCCCCCCCCACAGCGACACCCACAAACTCACAGACCGTAGCCCCAGCACACCCCCTGCCAGCCCACACCTAACCACATCCCTCGGCTGGACTCAAACCTCAACCACACTTAATCGACCAGATCCCAAGTCTAAACTAATCCCAAACTTTAAAAGTAACCCAGTCCTTAAGCCCAGCTTAGCCAAACGCCAATCATGTCCTTCCCCACCCTGACCCGTGAGGCAGGGAATCCTGACTTGGAATTGCACTGAAAACCTGGAAGACGGTGTTTCCCAACCATCAGTGTCAGAAACGGCCACCTGCTCAGACTGGGCGGGTGGGGCCATTCTCTCCTTCCTGCGTCCACGTCACGCCCCCAGTGGCACACTGACCGGAAGGCCTCACAGAGATGAAGCCGCTAACACTCGGCCAGGACCCCGGCGCTGCCCACCGAGCCAGACAGAGCCAATGCCGACCCGCCTTCATCCAACACACCCCACGGGGCCCACGCCCACCAGGACAACCCACTGCTGGCTCCAGCCGCCAGCCTGCATCCTTGTCACCCCCCTGCAGCCTCTCCCTAGCACCCCTAGCTCCGGGCTGCTACTGGCAGCATGCCAGCTCCGCTGCAGGCTGACTCTCACCCATGGGGGCGGAGGGAGGGCCGAGGGACGGCTGGTGTCCAGCTGGAAGCCCAGCTCACTGACGGCCCTGGGCCTGGCCCGCTGCTCTGTGTACACACACATTCATGTTGGCACACATAGAGTGACAAACGTGCCAGACGCTCAGTGGACACCGATACACGTGCCATTATCTACTGACAGACACGCACCGGTGCCAGATCCTGTCCTCAGACAGACATGCCTACACACACACGCTCACGTCCTCCCGCTCTCTGGCCAGGAGCGTTTCCCCTCCTCCACACCCTCTTCCTCCCATCTGGTGTCCCACCCTCACCCCCCCCCTTCCCAGCCCAAGGTGGGGACAGACACCTGAGGGCCTGCCAGCTGCTTCCCCACTCCGGCCTGAGCCCGCCTCATGTGCTTTGCCTGTCTGTCCACAGGGGACTCGTGGGGGATGCTGGCTTGCCTGTGTACTGTGCTCTGGCACCTTCCTGCGGTGCCAGCTCTCAATCGCACAGGGGACCCAGGGCCTGGGCCCTCCATCCAGAAGACCTACGACCTCACCCGCTACCTGGAGCACCAACTCCGCAGCTTGGCTGGGACCTACGTGAGTACCCTGCTTGGAAGTCAGGGTGCCGGGCAGTGAGCAGAGGGGTTGGGGGGAGGACAGAGATGTGGAGGGTATAGTGGGCTTGGTGGGGGCTGGTGCTTGAGCTCCAAGCAGCCTTCCTGCTGGCGTGTCTCCTGCCCTCCCCTAGGAGGTGCCCCCTCCCCATCTCTGGCCTCAGGACTAGGCATGTGGGCAGGACTTGCACCCGCCTTGGCCCACTGCCCCACTGGCTGCCAGCCCGGGCACCCGCCTCCCCCTGGGGGCTGGGGAAGTCTCTTCTGTTTACATGGTGTTGTGGTGTCTCTTGCCCGGGTGGGGCTGGGTGGGGATGGAGGGGCCCCACCTCCCATGCCTGTGTTCCAGCTCGCCTCTGCCCCCAGACCTGGGGCCCTGCTGCGTGGTCCCATGGGCCTCCCCCTGCCTCTCCCATCCTAACTGGGCCTCCTAGAGGGGTCGGGGGAAGGGGCTGCAGGGTGCGGGGCGGTTGTGCCGTAAGGATTTGGGGGCAGTCCAGAGGTGTTCAGGGAGCCCAGGAGGGAAGGAGGGAGGGTCGGAGGAGCTGAGGACCATGGGGAACAGGCCCTTCTTCCCGTGTTCCTCTCCCACATCCCAGACCCTACTCTGGAGCCAGGGAAGGAAGAGGGAGGAGGTGGCGGGGGAGCTGGCTCCAGCCCCGGGATACACCGAGGAAATTAGTTTGTCTCTGTGCTTGTCAGCGTGTGAACCTCCCCCTGGGCCCTTGCCTCTCCCAGGCCTCGCCTCTCCACTTGCTCTCCCATCGCATTGCTCCCAGCCCTCTCCCTGGGCCCCGGGGCTCCCCGGAGGGCTGCCAAGAGCCTGGACTTCTTCCCTGTCCCACAGCCCTTGACCCCTTGCTGCTGGCCTTCCAAGACTGCCTCAGTTTCTTCCCTCTATAGCCAGATCCTTCTCTAGGGCTGTGAGCAGGACCCTCCTCCCCTCCCCCTCTGCCACCCATGGCCCACTCAGCCACTTGTGGCCCCCCTCTGCCAGTTGTGCCCCACTCTGCCACCCGTGGCCCACTCTGCCTGCTTTTCTGCCCTAGCTCCTCTATGCAGAAAACCTTTGCTTCACTCACTTGCTACCTCCTGGAGTTCCCGACCCTTCTTGCCTGGCTTTCCCTGCCAAATTTCCTGAAGGAGTGGTCTACACCCTCTGCTTCCTCTCCACCCACTCACTGCTTAACCCCCTGCGAGCTGGCTCCTAGGCGGGCCTGTTGTGTTCCCTCCCCAGCTGGTCAGCTGGCTAGTCGGCTGGCAGGCATCTCTGTCCTGCAGGCCCAGGCCCATGGCACTCCTAAGCTCGGTCTCCATGTTGTTTTGCAGCCATGCTGCTGACCAGGCTTCTGCATCTGCCCCCTGGCCGCTGCGCTCTCCTGGGTCACCTCCTGGCTCTTTGGGCTCCTCTTCCTCTCTGCTCTGCCTGCTGCCCACTGGCCAACGGGCATGCATGAGCAGGCCAGTGCTCTCTGCGGTCTCTCTACACTTCTCTGTGTCTCAGGAGGGGAGCTCAGCATTGCCACTGCTTCAGCTGTCACCTCTGTGCAAACCGCAGCCCTGGTGGAGAAGCCTGGGGAGCCCAGGTTCGGGGAGACTGGGACTGCTTGGGGGCTGGCTGGCCTGCCCCCTCCTTCCCCATCGCCCTCTCCTTTTCACAGCTGAACTACCTGGGGCCCCCTTTCAACGAGCCTGACTTCAACCCCCCTCGGCTGGGGGCAGAGACGCTGCCCAGGGCCACCGTCAACCTGGAAGTGTGGCGAAGCCTCAATGACAAACTGCGGCTGACCCAGAACTACGAGGCCTACAGCCACCTCCTGTGTTACCTGCGGGGCCTCAACCGCCAGGCCACCACGGCTGAGCTGCGGCGCAGCCTCGCCCACTTCTGCACCAGCCTCCAGGGCCTGCTGGGCAGCATTGCAGGTGTCATGGCAGCCTTGGGCTACCCTCTGCCCCAGCCCCTGCCTGGGACCGAGCCCACCTGGGCCCCTGGCCCTGCCCACAGTGACTTCCTCCAGAAGATGGACGACTTCTGGCTGCTGAAGGAGCTGCAGACCTGGCTGTGGCGCTCGGCCAAGGACTTCAACCGGCTCAAGAAGAAGGTGCAGCCTGTGGCGGCTGCAGTCACGCTGCACCTGGAGGCCCGTGGCTTCTGACCCCTGACTTTAACCACCTCCTCTCCATCCCCTCCAGAGTAGGGGGAGCCCTGTGTGCCCATGCTCCTGAGTCCGTGGACAGACCCACGAGCCTCTGGCCTTGCCCTGGTCTGGGGGAAGCTGGGATGCCCTGGGCCCCATCCCCTCCCCACTGCCCAGAGTCCTTTGGGGCTGGGGAAGAGGTGCAATAGGCCTGTTCCCACAGGAGGTCAGGCTCAAGGGATTCCAGAGGGGTTCAAGTTGGTGCCCCAGCTCTCATGGCCTCTTATCTCCAGCCTACCACTGGCCCATGCCAACCTGGCTCCTCCCGCAGGTCTTCCAGAAGCACATATGGACGGCAGGGTGGGGGATACCCTAGCATGTGCCTTCTTGGGGTGAAGCCCTTTGGCTGCCTCACTTCCTTGGGTTGCTCCCAATGGCGATACTTCACATTAGGAGACATACATGGCTGTGCATCTAACAAGAGACGGGATTCCTGGGGGAGAGGAAAGGCCGCCCTGGAGGTGGGCTGAGGGTCGGGGGCACAAGGGGATACCCAGACCCTGCCTCTGGTTCTCTTGCCAGTTTCATGGTGCCTTCCCCACCCTCGTCCAGGGTGTCTGTGGGCTGCCCAGGCTGGGGAGGGCAACGAGGGCCACGGCCACCGATTTCCTGAAAGTTTACATTGCAGTAGCATTTTGGGGCTTGGGGTGGCGGCTCCCTGAGGCCTACCCCCTAGCCCACCCACTCATGACTCTTTTAAGTTTGTTGTATTAATATTTATTTATTTGGAGATGTTATTTATTAGATTATATTTATTGCAGAATTTCTATTCTTGTATTAACAAATAAAATGCTTGCCCCAGAACGTGGCGTCCGTGCCTGGCTTTCCCCTTAGCCCTCCCTCCCAACCCAGTCAGTGTCCAGCAATGTCCAGGGTCCTTGTTGGCCCAGCCCTCCTCTGCCCTGGGTCAGGGTGGGGTATGCACGGTGTGCGCTCCACATGCACCTGCAGCAGGTCGGCCCGCTCCCACCCATGCCTCTGCTCAGGGCACCGCACCTCAGGACTGCTCTGCTGAGCTCAGGTCTGGCTCCTGCCTCGACTGTCTGCCCGGTAGCCTGCCCATCAGCCCCCTCGGGATGGGGGTGGGAGGCTCTCCCCAGCTGGCCTCTCCTTCCTGGGGGGCTTAAAAACCTGCACTTCATCTCAATCTTCTTTGCTTCCTGTTCCTTCCCCACCAACACACACGCAGACCGGGCAGGGAGGACCGTGCTGGACTGCTGGGGGACAGACTGGGTATAATTCAGGGCGACCAAGTGCCTTGTCGCCTTCCGTCCCCCATCCTGAGCGGTGCAGGTGCGTGTCTCTTTGGAGCTTCTGGGAAAGAAAGACGGAAGTGGCAAAAGTCCAGGACCTGGTCGCAGTGGCAGGGTGTGCAGCTGACTCTGGCTGGAAAATTGGAGGTTGAGGCCTTTTAAATGTGGGGCACGTGGGAAGTAGATGGGGCAACTGCTCTAAGCTAACATGCATTTTTAAAAACTTGTACATTTATTTGAAAAAGAGTTACAGAAACAGCAAAATCTCCCACCCACTGGGTCACTCCTCTGGGCCGGGAGCTCCATCCTGGTCTCTCACAGGCTGGCACAGTCTGAATCCCTGGGCTCTCCTCCACTGCCATGCCAGGTGTACTAGTAGGGAGCTGAATCAGGAGCAGAGCTGTGTTCTGATATGGGACGGTGGCATTGCTGCACCAGGGCTGTTTCTGAGCGCTCCCGGAGGTGTGCCTCATCCAGGAGGTAACACAACAGTGGCACAGAGTGACTGACGGCGGCCCGTCCCAGGGCTCGGGGGGAGAAGTCTAAGACCCAACTCAGCGTCCAACCTTCCCGAGGAGGAGGCAGCCCTCTCTCCTGCACCCCCAGGGAGGAGCCGACCGGGAGGGGCAGCCAGTGCGGGGACACAGGCAGGAAGTGTGCAGGTGTGACCAGCCCCGACTGGGGGACATGAGCCCCTCCAAGAGGCCACGTCAGAGGGCACCTGGGCCACCCCAGGCCTGAGTAGTGGCCGGTTGGGTGCGGTGCTAGAGATTGTCAAGGACAGAGGGTGGAGGACCACACAGCAAAGCACCGGGTGCCTTGCCACAAGCATTTCAAACTCTCAGGGCCATGTTTTTTATTCTGGAAGTAGAGAGCAGAGCTTGAAGAGGAATCTGACCAGCTAGTTCAGACGGCCTGGAGAAGCGGAGCTGACAGCGGGAAAGAAGCCCTTGGGGAGCCATGGGGACCCCGAGAGTCGGGGACAGATGCCAAGTGGGGAGAGAAGAGGAGAAAGGGGGCGATTGCTCCTTCTCCTGGGTCTGCTGGGGCAGAGGCGGAGCAGAGGTGGGGTGGGGGCTGCTACCGCCCAGAGGTGGCCACCACCAGCCGCATGGCCACGGGAGACCAGCACAGACCCTGAAGGCAGATGACGTCAGCGGACACACGTGGGCCAGGGGCAGCATGGGGTGAGGAGAGGGCATTTCCCAGGGTGCGGGCTGGCCAGGCAGAGATCGCAGACTATCACAGGAGGTTAGGGGTTTTAGGGTACTAGAATCCCTACTGCTGGGGAGTGTGGGGGAGCAGGGGCGGGAGGGGAGGACAGGCAGAGGGTGTGGTTGGGGCCTTACCCTAAAGGGCAACTCCTCCAGGCGGCCTGTAGGGTGTTTGTTGCTGCTGTGAGTCCACTTCGGGGTGGCCTGGCCTTGGAGTCCAGGGCCCGGGCAGCCAGAAGACCGTGACATGAGGGACATCATGTCTCCCAGTTCTCGTGTCCCCGGGAACCAAGGAGTACAGGACGGATAGAGACAGAGAGAAGGGCTTGTTCCCCATCACGTCCGGTCAGCACGTGTAGGACACAGATCCTGTTACCTTGGGGCCCAAGACGGAGAACAGCCAGAGAGGAGGGGCCGCTTTCGAGAAGGCCCATGTGGGCACAGAGACGGCCTTGAGGAGGCCTTGTCAGCTTGACACTGGCCAAGTCACCCCGGGGTGGGGTGGGCACTCATCCCAGCCGCCCTGCGCCCACCCATGGCTGCCCTTGGCCATGGCCCCTGTGCCCACCCTCTCCCCTGGCCGCCTCATGTGTAAGTGTGGGCGGGTTGGGGGGCCTCTTCCCCAGCCAAGCATGCAAGGGCTAGTGACTCAGGCCCGGCTGGGGCCCTGAAGGGCAGCTCCCAAAAGAGAATCCCCCTTCTCCTCCAGAGCCACAACTGTCCCTGCCTTTGTCCCTTCAATTCTTGAATCCCCTGACTCAGCTGGGTACCCACATTTCCCAGCAGGGGACAAAGCTCTTGGTGGAGGGTGGAGTGGGGGTCTGAAGAAGTAACTGAGAAAGCTTTGAGCCCAACTTATAGTCCTTGCCCCAGTGTCACCCTTTGGGGTCCCCCAGGCTCTTGGTCCAAGGTCACCTCTAGGGCACTCGCCAACTTGCCCCATCTCCTGGGCCAGGTTGGTGGGGGAGGGTTAATCAGGGCCTTCTTCCCAGCTGGACAAAGTCTGACACCTGGTGGCCAAGGTGAGCAATGGCTATAGGGTGCCCTTTCAAATCTCCCTGAAACTTCTGCAAGGGCTCCAATGACCAAGGTGAAAGAGGGGTGATGGGGGGGATGCCTGGCAGGAGAGAAACAGGATTAGGGGAGCCTCTTCCTCCCCCCAGTTAAGCCTTAGCCAGTTAAGCCAAGAACCTGGCCCAAGAGGAGGGAGAGGATTGGGAGTGGGGTCCTGAACTGACCCCATCCTGGTTCAGAATGAGTAGCCAGGCCCAGGGCCTGGAGCGGGGAGGCGGGCTGGACATGAACCACAAGCAAGCCCGGGGCAGCAGCAGCCCTCCCACTGTCTGACCCCAAGCCCCACTGTGAGCTGGGGGGGCGGTGATAATGGGAGGGGTTCTTGGGACCCCAGCATAGTGCTGAGCCCCATGTGAGCGAGGATGGGCCTAAGCCCCTTCCACCCTACAACAGGCAGCCTTGGGCCTCGGCTCTCAGCAAAGAGCTAGCTTCCCAGTCCAATTTGCCTATGGGGCTTCAGGAACTTAGCTCCCAGCCTGGAAGCAAGGGCCTTGAATGCTCCCAGGTTTACAGGCCACCCTGCAAGCGCCCATGTCCACTCCCCCAAAACACAAACTCAGCACCTTGGCATCAGGGCCAGCGCAAGGAACATGCCTGGGTCTCGGGCAACCTCAGAGAGTTCAGCCCCCATTACAGCCCTCTAGACTGCCCTGGAACCTGAGCTCAGAAGGCTCCGTAAGAGCAGTGGAGGGCAGAGGACATGAGGCCATCTACATAGTCCAGGAGTTTGAGGCCCGACGGTCACAGGAGGCAGACTGGGCTAAGGAGGGCAGGCCAAGGCCCAGTCCACCTGCCAGAGCCCTTTAAGGAGTCAGACGTGGGACGAGAGAAGGATGCCAGTGGGACAAGTTTGGTCCAAAATGCCAGGGCATTGCTTCCCTTGTGGTTCAGCCCTGGGCCGTGCTTGACCTTAGCTTGACCGCTCTGATCTTGCTCCTGCAGCTGAGAGGTGCCAGAGCCCAAGGGCGACCCCTTCCCTTCTTGCCCAGGTGGATGAGGCTGGCAGGGCCTGAGCCAGGCAGGGCTGGGGGCAGCCAGCAGGAGCCGCTCACACGGAGTCCACAGAGCAGGGAAGGAAGGACAGGGCTTGGGCACAGGAGAAGCTGCTGTGGCCTCCCAGCGGCACACCCCATTTCACGCTCCCTGGGCGGCGGCGAGCCCACGGCTATCATCTTTCAGGGGTGGGAGGGCCCAGGAATGAGGAGGGGTCTGCCCCACCCAGGACTTCCCGATCCCTCAGGGCGTGTGGAGGTGGATGACACATGCCAGCCTCTCACAACAGCCCAGAGCCCCTTGCTAAGGTTCCTCCACAGGGCCCCAGGCGCCACTTCCCCACAGGGGTGCTCTAGGCCCCACAGTCCCACACCTGAGGCCTCCCCTGCACCGGAAGGGTCCCTGATTCCACCACCCGCTCCTCCGCTCAGCAGGGCCCTACTCTCAGCCTGAGACACTTGAGCCAAGCCCAGTGCCAGCAGAAAGGCAGGGCTGGCCCTCCAGCCCTCTGGCTTGCCCCAGCACCTCCCTGCTCAGCCTCAAAGGGAGGTGATGGTGAGGACGCAGGGAGGAGGCCCCAGGAGATGTGGCCTGCTCCCCCTCCTCCCACGAGGTGCACCCTAGCCTGCCATGCGGCCTCCTTTGGAGTTCCCATGCAGAGCCGGGGCCCGGGGCCCAGGGCAGCGAGGCCTGCAGAGGCCGCTGGCAGCGTCCCCCTTGTGGGCCTGGAAGCGAGGACCGGATGGGCGCTCTGAGGGTGATTAGGGCCGGGCCGGGCCTGTGCCGGTTCCCAGCCTCCCACTGGCCAGCACTCGCGCCTGCTGCCAGGAAATTGGTGAGGGGGAGGCAGGCTAGGGTGAGTCAGCCGTGACAGGAGCCCAGGGGACAAAGGTCACACACGGGTGGAGAACGGGGAGACACCTCCCGCAGGAGGCCTCTGGGTGCAGTCTGACCACCCCCACCACCCGCCTGCTGCTGCCAAGGGGTCAGTCTCCACCGCACGAGGGCATCTCCTCCATGCCCCCATCGGCGGCCAGTGGGTATTTCCTAGACGTCCTGCTTGAAGGCCCCCAAATGTGCTTTCATTGCTTTAGGACGTGGGAAAAGGCCTAGGGCAGTACTGGCCCCACCCCGCACCGGCCCCAGTGTGAGGGTGCACCGTTTACAGCACGCTGCTGCAAGCCAGAGGACAGAGATGGGGTGCCCGGGCCGTGTGCGCCCCTATCGGCAGGGCGAGCAGGGCCAGGCTTCCGGTGCCCTGGAGAGCGCACAGGCCAAGGCCTGCCTCTGTGGACAGTGTGGGCAGCGGCTGGGCACAGACTGTGAGAAAAGAACCTGCGGAGCGCAAGTCCCCCGCAGGGTCTCCTGGGGCCGGCTTAGCCCCAGCTCCCCTCGGCCCTGTCCAGACCTGCCCCCTCGACGCCGGGGGGCCCAGGGCCCACAGAGGCCGGTTCCAGTTGGGCTCTGGGGAGTTACAAACCCGACACGGGGATTAATGAGGCAGAAAAGAACATTTGCCTAGGAAGGGAAAACGGGAAGTGAGAGGCCCAGGATAACGTTCGGCGGGTCCCCGGGGAGTCGGGCAGACCGGTGGGGGGCAGGGGGAGGTGGTGAAGCCGGGGCGCCCCGACACCCCCTTCCCGGCGCAGCTGCGCCAGCCGCCCCCCATTGGCCCGGCCCGGGCCCGCCCCGCCGCGGTGGCCGGCCATTGGCCGCCGTCCGGGCCCTGTCGTGTTTGTGGGGGAGGGGGCAGGCGTCATCTGGAACCGGGCGACTTCCTCTCCGCTCGTCTGGGTCGCCCGTCTGCCCGCCGCTGGCCCGTCTCTCTCCTAGCAGCTGTCCCGCGCGCCCGCTGGCCCGGCTCTCCTTCCCTGCTGTCACCTTCTCCACCCGCCTGGGTGGCCGCCATGAGCCGGAAGGGGCGCATCACCGACTCCTACCCTGCTGTGAAACGGAGGGAGGGGCCTGCCGGGCATGGCAAGGGGGAGCTGGCACACGAGCTAGGTCTCTGAGGCGCGGGGGAGGCCGGAGGACGGACTCGCAGGACTGGACGTGGGGCGGGGGCAGATGGCAGGGGAAGGGTGGCAGGCCCTGTCCTTCCGGCCGCCGCAGGCTGGCTGCCGCCTGAGGAGCAGTGTCGCTCGTTGCAGGGGAGGAGCCGCAGCCGGCCGGGGAGGAGGACGCCGCGCTGGAGCTGCTGCGGCAGTTTGACCTGGCCTGGCAGTACGGGCCCTGCACAGGTGAGCGCCACCCTACCTCCCGCTGGCGGGAGGACCGCGAGGCTCCACGCACAGTCTCAGGGTTGGGGGACTCCTCCGCCTGCCCCGCAGGGATCACCCGCCTGCAGCGTTGGCACCGAGCTGAGCAGATGGGCTTGCAGCCCCCGCCCGAGGTGCGCCGGCTGCTGAAGGCTCACCCCGGAGATCCCCGCTTCCAGTACAGGTCAGAGACGGACCGCAGGGTTCTGGGCCCAGCGGGGAGGGCTAACCGAGATGGGGGTGGGGGCAGGAGGACCCAGGGCCCAGAGCAGGGTGTGGGCAGCAGTAGGGTTGGCAAGGGCCCATTGAGGGCCTTCGGCAACTCTGGCGTGTCCCCATTTTCCACAGCCTCTGGCATCTGTACCCGCTCTGAGGCATCACCGAGTCCTGCCGCCAGCCAGCTGAGAGCCTGGCACCAGGAGCCAGGGCCCCTGTTGAGCTCCACTGCAGAGGGGGACTCTGCAGCCGGCCCGGGGCTGTCTGGCTCAGTGCCTCAGCCTCCACCCACTCTGACTGGCCCCTCAGGCCCGCACAGTGCAAGCTGAACTCCTTCTGCACAAAGTGTGATTTGTGGGGCCAAGGACCTGGCCAGGGCTCTGGCTGTCCCTTCCTGACTGGTGCAGTGGTCATTCAGGCCGGGTGAGACACAGGCAGATGGCCTGAGGCTGAGCAGGGGACCCAGGGGCAGGACTGGCTGAGGTCTTGGGGCGAGGGGCTGCACTCCTGCTGACCAATAAAAAAACAACTGCACTCCTTGAACGTGGCCCTGCTGTGGCAGGCAGCCCCAGCGCGTGAGGAAACCACCAGCACCAGGCTCTGCCTTTCCTGCAAGGAGGCCTCGGCCTTAGACTGGGAAGGAACCTGGAGCCCAAGCTGTGGTCCTCCCGGGGCTGAGGGTCCTCCCCGAGCTGGGGGCGCACAAGAACCACTCTAGTGGTTCTCTGGGCCCAGCCCCCAAAGCTTGCCTCAGCTCATCTGCTGTGGGCTGGCTCCACGTTGCCATAGGCCCATCCAGTCCAGACAGACGTACATGTTCCCACCAAGCACCTGTACTTCCCACACCGGCAGCGACCCGGAGCCAGGGCAAGGCTGGAAGGTCTCAACCTGCAGGATCTGCTCGGACATGGCCACGTGGGGCTGGGGATGAGGAGGAACTGGCACGGGATGAGGGAGGTTAGGGGTTAGGGGGAACTGGCTGGGGATGAGGGAGAAGGCACGGGAGACCCTGGGTCAGTGTGTGGCACACTGTGACAGGATACAACACACGGGGTCAGGGAGTGCAACACTGAGTCAGGCTGCGACCTAGGTCTGGGTGTGGTGACACACTGGGTTTGTGTGGATATGCTGATTCCGGGAGTGACACACTGGGCCTGGTGTGAAACACTGGGTCCGTGTATGCCACGCTGGGTCCCAGTGGGACTTGGAGAATGCAGGGAGTCACTCCTCTGACAGCCCCACCCCAGGGCTGCAGTGCCCCGTCCCTAGACGGGCTCTGTAGCTCCCGTCTTCCTGAGCACTGGCCCTGCCTCCGAAGGCTCCCAGCAGGAACACGGCTGAGCGGGCCCCAAGCCAGCCCTATGCCTGGCGCCCAAGGTCCCCTTGGATGTTTATGAACCAGTCACTGCAGGTGCTGGTTAGCAGATAGCAAGAGGAAGACTAAGTGAGGCCCACGGGGGTCAGAGAATGCCAGGCGTACCTTCCTAGAGAGCCCCATGGCAGTGCCACACAGGAACCGTAAGGCAGTCAGGGCACAAGGGTGGCATATACAGGAGTGTTCTAGACGGAAGGCACACCAAAGCTCCATGAGCCAGCACGTGGCAGAGCATGCTAAGCTGCCTCTCAGCACTGGTGATCCCCTATGGGCACCAGTTCCCACCCACTGTCCTGCTAACCTGGGAAAGCAGTGAACATGGCACAGGTCCCTGGGCCCCTGCACCCATGTAAGAGACCCAGAAGAAGCTGCTGGGCCCTGGTTTTGGCCTGGGTCAGCCCCAGCTGTTGTGCCCATTTGAGGAGTGAATCAGCGATTGGAGGAGCCTTTTATCTCTCTAGCTCTATATTGCAAATCAATAAAATCCATCTTAGGAAAGAAAAAGCCCCATGCAGGGGTCCAAGGAATAGGATAGAGTTTGGATCTTATTCTGAGGAGAAGGAACTGGAGGGTTTCAAGCCAGTAAGTGATGTGAAATTTCGGCTGCTGGCAGAGAGCAGGTGCGGAGCTGGGAGAACACAGGCAGAGTGATGGGGGCTGCCGGGGTCTCCCTCATGAGCACCAATGGTGACGTGGACCCAGGCAGGGGGCACAGCTGGTACAAAGTGGCCAGCTGACGGGACTGTCTTAGCAGCTGGCTGTGGGAGCATGGAGGGCCGCAGAGTCCCAGCAAATGTGATGGGGCAGAGCTGCCCTGGCAGAGAGCGCAGGATGGTGGGCACATGGCGTGGGGCGGGAGTGGAGGGGGCAGCTGTGGGCAGGGTGGGCTGGAGGTGTCTGACCAGTGGAGAGTATGAACATCTCGGAGACTATAAGATCTACATTTGAGAGGAAGTGGCACAGCAAGCCACGAGTGCACACGCCGGCCCCATGGCCTCCGTACTTGGGGGTCAGGAGAGGGGGGCCTGGAGCAAAGGGGACGAAGGAGTGACAGGAAGGATGCATGGAAAGCAGGAGAGGGGAAGGTGGGCAGGAGGAGGACAGGGAAGGGCAGGGCAGCCTGTGGGGTCGGCCATGCTCAGGGCTCCCGCTACACCTTGACACGGGCAGGGCAGCTGGGGTCGGGCCACAGAACCGCATGCATGGTGCCCCAGGGTTGTGGGGAGCTTGTGCCAAGGCAGCAGAGGAGGGGTCCTAGGGCAGATGCAGCCTTCCGGAGGGGCCGCGATGCCATGGGAGTCATGGGTGGGGGTCCTGAGCAAGTGAACGGAGGCAGGAGCCTCCCTTGGGACAGAGCGTGTGGGAGGGGATGTGCCAGGGACAGGGGTATTTGAGAAGCAGATGTCTGTCACCCCTGTCAGCTGCCTCACTCCCCAAGTGGCCGCAACGGCTGGAGTTGAGCCAATCCGAAGCCAGGAGCTTCTTCCAGGTCTCCCACACGGGTGCAGGGTCCCAAGGCCTTGGGCTATCCTCGACTGCTTTCCCAGGCCGCAAGCAGGGAGCTGGGTGGGAAGTGGGACTGCCAGGACATGAACCAGGGCCCATATGAGATGGTGGAGTTTTCAGACAGAGGATTAGCTTATAGTGCAAGTCCAGCAGAGGGTCAGCGGAGGGGGTGCCTCACACAGCTGCCCTCGCACCCGGGCAAACAGGGGTAGGAGGTGCTCCAGAAAGAAGGTCTGTTGAGGGGGCTAGCCCCGGTCAAAGGCCTGCCTGTCTCACCTCTGCCCCGTCCCAGGTCGGTCCATCCCATTTCTGTCCTGGTGCCAGGCCTGCCCATCCCACCTCTGTCCCAGTCCTGCCTGTCTCAGCCTCTGCCCCAGTGCCAGGCCTGCCGTCCCCTCTGCCCCGTCGGCTGCTCTGGGCACTCCAGCTGTCAGGCGCTGCTGGCCCCACTGTTCCTGATAGCTGTATCCCCACTCTTAGACACCCTCCCCAGTGGCCTGAAGCTCCATGTGCTAACCGATCAGGAAGACACGAAGGGAAAGAGGGTGCTTCCGAAGGAAAGGTACAACAGAGCCAGCTCACAGGACAGGTGCTTGGCATTATGCCCTGGGCGGGGGCATCACAAGGATTCTAAGCCATCCCTGCGGGTTGACCCTGAACAGGGCACAGCTGCTGTGTGCCAGCCATGGTCAACACAATGGCCAGCAGAGCTTCCTGTGGCAGCAGAGAGACAAGCAGGTATGGCACGATGACCCAAGCACTTGGGCCCTGCCACCCACAGGAGGGAGCTGGATGGAGTGCTGGGCTCGCGGACTCACACTGGCCCAGCTGCAGCTGCTGCCGGCATCTGGGGAGTGAGCCAGCAGATGGGCCGCGTCTGGCTCCCTCTGTATTCTGCCTTTCAGATAAATAAATAAATTGAGAAACCTTTTTTTTTTAAATGGAGACAGTTCTACTCGGGCGAGGGCCACTATGCCAGCTAGTGAGGGACACTTGGTCCTTGCAGGCTGTGCTCCGCCATCCAGGCTCCAGTCCCCTGGAAGCCGCCTCTCCTGGCACAGGCTGTCAGGCACCTGCCGGGTAACAAAAAGCTTCGCAGGAGTGCGAGCCCGCGTCATGCCACCGGGACCTGCTAATGGAAGGAGTGTGTGGCAATGTTTGGCTTGCGTTTCAATCTTAAGCAGCTTCAGCCTACACCTCCACACAGGAAAAGACGCTCCACTTCACTCTAATCAAAACTGGTAAAAGCCAGGAGACTGAGACGGCGCTGCCAGGGCTTGGGGCGAACAGGCGAGGCGCGGCACAGCACGGCCTCTGCAGAGAGCCTGGCCTGGTCCTCACCAAGACACAGCACTGACTCTGACCCACAGGCTCCCTTCCAGTAATCTGCCTGAAGATGTACTTGGGCAAACATAAAGCATCATCCAGCATGCTGGGCACAGCGCGTCAAGGCGCCTCTTGTGTTTTTGAGGCCCAGCCCCTCCCCCAGCTGTCTGGCTGCTAGATGTGCACCCTGGGAGGGGCGGGCGTTGGCCCAAGTGCTCGGGTCCCATGGGGCAGACCGCGATGGAGTGCCAGGCCCCGGCTTTGGCCTGCACCAGCCCCAGCCGTCACAGCCAGGTGAGGCGTGAGCCAGTGAGCAGAAGACCGATGCCCTATCATGCTGACTTTCAAACAAATAAATAAGTCTTTTCAGAAAGGTTGATAATATAACCACAGGGGAAAAAGCATAGAAGAATTCAAGTAAATTTTGAACACAGTCCATGGATTACCTACAAATAAAAGAATTAATAGGAGAATTTTTTTAAGATTTATTTACTTTTTTTTATTACAAAGTCGGATATACAGAGAGGAGGCGAAACAGAGAGGAACATCTTCCATCTGACAATTCACTCCCCAAGCAATCTCAATGGCCCGAGCTGAGCTGAGTCCATCCAAAGCCAGGAGCTTCTTCCATGCCTCCCATGTGGGTGCAGGGTCCCAAGGCTTTGGGCCGTCCTCGACTGCTTTCCCAGGCCACAGGCAGGGAGCTGGGAGAGAAGTAGAACAGCCAGGACAAGAACCGGCACCCATATGGGATCCTGATGCATACAAGGTGAGGACTTTAGCTGCTAGGCTATTGCACCAGGCCCCATTTTGCTGTTAAACATGTCCCCTACTCATCTTGCTCCATTCCTGACCCACTCCACCCTCCTCAGAGGCCTACAGAGACATGCAGCCCTCTCAAATACGTACGTAAACAATATTAAAAATGAATTTCAAAAAATCAGCAATATGGGGCCCAGCACAGTAGCCTAGCAGCTAAAGTCCTTGCCTTACACCTGCCAGGATCCCACATGGGTGTCCGCTGCCCTGCTTCCCATCCAGCTCCCTGCTGTGGCCTGGGAAAGCAGTTGAGGATGGCCCAAAGCTTTGGTGCCTGCACACATGTGGGAGACCCGGAAGAAGCTCCTA